AGATGAAGAGGTTAATCCAAATTAATAAATCGTGTATCTCGGCTTGAATACATGTATCTCGTCATTAATGATTTAAGTTGATGAAGAAGATGAAGATGTTAATTCAAATTAATAAATCGTGTATCTCGGCTTGAATACATGTATCTCGTCATTAATGATTTAAGTTGATGAAGAAGATGAAGATGTTAATTCAAATTAATAAATCGTGTATCTCGGCTTGAATACATGTATCTCGTCATTAATGATTTAAGTTGATGAAGAAGATGAAGATGTTAATTCAAATTAATAAATCGTGTATCTCGGCTTGAATACATGTATCTCGTCATTAATGATTTAAGTTGATGAAGAAGATGAAGATGTTAATTCAAATTAATAAATCGTGTATCTCGGTTTGAATACATGTATCTCGTTATTAATGATTTAAGTTGATGAAGAAGATGAAGATGTTAATTCAAATTAATAAATCGTGTATCTCGGTTTGAATACATGTATCTCGTTATTAATGATTTAAGTTGATGAAGAAGATGAAGAGGTTAATCCAAATTAATAAATCGTGTATCTCGGTTTGAATACATGTATCTCGTTATTAATGATTTAAGTTGATGAAGAAGATGAAGATGTTAATTCAAATTAATAAATCGTGTATCTCACCTTTAAAAACTGTTGAATACATGTATCTCGCCATTAATGATTCAAGCCGATGAAGAAGATGAAGAGTACAATAACAGAATTAATTAGGTTTATGATTTCGTTATTTTAGGAATATTTGTTAGAGATGATACTCAAGATCCTGTAAAATTTGTTGAGTTGTTAATTAGTCAGCAATTAATTCATTAATTAAGGAAATAAGTTACAACCCTTTTAATTTAAATTAATAAATCGTGTATCTCAGCTTTTAAAATGGTTGGATACATATATCTCGCCATCAGTGATACATGTATCTCGGGGCCAAAATATGATATAAAAAGTAATATTACAAACTATCGGGAATCCTAGTAATTGGGATCTAAAGTAGTGAGATTTATGTAAGATGCCCTATATGTTTCTCAATCCCCACAAATCGGCAGGCTTATTCAGGCCAGACTAAAAAGTCATTTTCTTAAATGGGCTCCAAAAATCGTAGCCCAACCTTATCAAATCACGGATTAGGCCAAACCGACCCAACGGGCCTAACCCATATTGACGTCTCTAGTTTTACATAACAATATAAATCTTGTTTCATTTTCTCCTATTGGCTATAACTCCTATAAAACGGGAGGCGGAAAAAGAATGGAGACAATTAAATAAAAGTTGGTATGAAAATTAATTTTGTCAAATGTTTTGTCTTAAAAAAGTAAAGGTCTTTCGGAAATAGCTTTTCTGTTCCGCAAATATAAGGTAGGACTAAGGAGTAAGGTCTGCTAAGTCCTATTATTTTCATACTATACCGATGAGATTACGTCGAGTAGAGTAATTCTTTCTCATTTCAATTTATTTGTTCTACTTTCTTCCACGTTGAAAATAGTATCTACATGTTTATTGAAGTAAATTTGTACTTAAGTAAAAACACACACTAAATAACTAGAAAAAATACTTTCGTTTATTCCACAGTCCATCATGTTACCCTTTTGAGGAAAAATACTAATCCTGTACTTTTCACCCTCTAAAAGTAATCAAATATTTTAAAAAATTATATTTGATCAAGTTACCAAACACTCAAATAGTGCGGTGATCCTAATATATAAAAGTAAACAAATGGTGTGAAAGCTCATGTAAAAGAAAAAATTAATACCACTTTGTCTCATCAACAAAGTTATAATAACAGATCAATTCTTAATTAGATATCTCAAATTCGAATCTCAAAAATAAAACTACTTTTAGTAAAAGTTATGTTATTTTCAAAGTGAATTTTTAACATAAATTTAAATTAATTGAGCTATCAAACAACAGCGCTACCAAACTTGGTTATTGACCTGCCATCTTTAATTCAAAAGCCATTCTTTATTGAGCCAAGCAAAGTAAAACCTACTCTTTGCTTCCTTGTACCATTTCCATTGGATTCTTTAAAAAAATAGCCTTTTTTTCTCTTTATGTAATCAATTCTTTTATTGTAACCTTTGACGTGTTATGTTTATAATATTTTTGTTATTTCTCTTTATTTTCAAAGTTTATCTTTATTTTCTTTGGCCAATCATATAGAGCCATTAATTCAATTCTTACACGTTAACCTTTTTGCTTAATTTTTTTTAAGAAAACAAAAATCTAGAACATAGAAAATTATGAACTCTCTTTTTTTATATAAAAAAAATGAAGTCGATTACGTATATATCTTGACTTCACCATACTGACTTGTCTCTTCCTCCTCCTCTCTTATATTTTTACTTCCGTTTATTTTGTTTATTTAATTTTAATTTGATACGGAGTTTAAGAAGTTAAGAAATATATAAAATGTATCAAAATGTTATTGAATCTCATAAATTTAAAATATGTCATACAAATATTTAAAACAAAAAAGTTATATATATTTATCGAGATGGATTAAAAGATAAAAGTAAAATAAATTGAAAAAAGGGAGTAATATTTTTACATTTACTGTGATATTGGTTTATAGGTGGGTGGATGGATATTTAATTATTTGTTGTGAAACAGTTTGAAACAAAAGGAAAAAAAATATAAAAATCATTTTATAGTAATTTCAATGTAAATTATACGAATCTCTTTGTACTTTTATATCCAACTTTGAAGCATGATTAATAAAAATTCTTCCATCATACATGGAAAAATATATTTGTATTGGATAAAAATAAAACTTGATTAGTGGACTAATAAGTGTTCGACACATGGAAGCATTACCTTAATCTGATTCAAGTTCAAATAATTGTCTTGACTCATGAAACAACATCGATAGGATTGATGATATCTCAATAGTCAATACTATAAAAAAAATAATCAATAAACAATAGTACTCCTAAATAATAATGTAGGACCTTTTAGCATAAGGTTTGAACATGATTTAGTTGAGATTAACCAAAAAATGGAAGGAGTAATAATTGAAAATATTTGGAAATTTAACTTATTCTTGGATATAAAAATTTTTATGTGAACAAAAGTTATAAAAACTTATAAAATCTATTTTTCAGACTTCAAACTTTATATTTCAAGATTAAAGTTGAAACAACGAATCAATTTACCAAATAAAAACTTATGTAGAATAATTTTTCAAATATTATTTCGAATATTCCAAATCCCAAACTTTCCAAGTTTAGCTATTGTCCATCAATGTACATATAGACAAACATCTTTCATTGCATCATTATGTAATGCATGACGAAGTGCACAAAGTTGGCCTTACAACATACATAGTTGGCATAAATTTGCACTAAAAGGCTAAAAACATCAATCTTGTGTGAAATGTACCAAAGAAAAATAATATTCCTTCGATTTAATTTGTTTAACCCGTTTTTTTTTAATGTTTAGAAAAGAATGACTCTTTTTTTAACAATTCCTTAGTTTTAATTTTTTATTTGACATGTTTTAAATAACAAATTAAAAACATTTGTCACATTTAATAACAACAACACCATATCTACTAAAAATTCCAAGTAGGGTCAGAGAAAGATAAAGTGTATGCAAACCTTATTACTATCTCATGGAGATGTTGTTTCCGAAAGATTTATTTTGGTACATTTGATTCATATGTAAGACCACAAGATTTATGAATAATATTAACTTTCTTAAATTTTGTATCAAGTCAAAATAAATCAAACAAATTAAAACGAATGAAATAGTAAAAATTATGATGGAATAATAATATTTTATTTTTAATCAAAGAGCTCAAATTTAATCGAATCCTAATATAGAAACAATATATTTAACAAAACAACTTCTTGTTTGAGAAAAAGAGGAGTAAATGCATTGTGTCAAATAATAAAGACTTGAAAGATAGTTGAAAGCAACATACAACCCCAAAATACCTAATTTTTTTGAGCAATAAAAGTGGAAATGCAAAGGCAAGAACAGACGTCGATGAGTAGTAAACACATGATAATTCAGAGAAAAAATAATGGAGACATTATTTAGGTAATGGCTGACCTGCCAAGAAAGGACACGTGTTGTTCTTGAAAATGGTCCTCATGGAAAGTCCATGAACTCCCTTTTGTTTTTTTGTAATTAAGGGTAAGCGCAAAACAATTCAAAGCATTTCTCTGTCTGCTAGCATTGATTGGAGTTAGATAATTGAATCTACACGTGTCTTCTAAGGAGTCAGTGCATCAAAGGTAAAATCTTTTCTACATCCCAAGTTGTATTTTCTCTCTCATGTGTCTCACAAAGAAAAAAAATAAAATCTTGAAAAGGGGCTGTAGAGGGAGAGTCTGCAAGGTGTTTTGGTAAAAGGGTTTTTGTTGGTAAGCTTAATTATTACTGTTTTAGTTGAATTTATTGTAAATAGGACTGTTTTTTTTTATGTTCTTGAATGGTTTGTTGCTTAAAGATTCAATTTTTATCTGTTGGGTTGGAGGAAGAAGGAGAGTATATTTAGTAAATGACCTGTATTTTGAGAGGTGGACATGAGTTGCCTCAGATCCATGAAACCCAAGTTACATGTGGCAAAAAGGTAGTATCGTTTTAGGGTTTTTCTTGTGATTCTTGATTAGTTGTCTGTTTTCTTCTCCTTACTAGGTTCTTTTCCATGATTCTTTCGCTTTCTCTTCTTGAATTCATGGATAAGGGTTTGATTTTGTCGTTTTCCCCATTTTCTTGTGTATTTAAGGGTTGGTGGTGGTGGAGCTAGGATTTGCTCTACTTAATCTTGTTTCTTCTTTTGAAGAAAGATAATTGCATGATATTTTAGTTTTAGGTACAAGAAAGGACCCCCTAAGTCTTCTCAGTCTAGAACTTGCCATCTATAGAAGTTTGGATCTGTTTATAGTAGCAGATCTCCTTCACACCCTTGTTTGTTTCACTTATCTGGAGCTTGTTCCACCTATTGTTTGATGTTGGTAGTGTACCCTTTACTACTTGTAGTGAGCTGTTGACTGAGATCTTCTTGCCTCATTCAATTTTTGTCTCTCCTCATTTTTTGTGTATTCCTACCTCATTCTCCTTGTGCTTATAATTTAGCTGTCTTGCCCATTTTTGTGGATTCCTACCTCATTTCATTGTGGATTCAATTTAGCTATTTTACCGCACTTGTGAATTCCCTTCTAAAGCAGTCCTACTCTGTGAAACATAAAGCTTGGAACAATTTGTTGCTGGTAGTGCTGCACGGACTAACGCGGTTGACTCAATTGCATATTGTTTTCACTAGAAGAATTAATGGAAGAGATGTCTCCAGCTGTTGCTGTTACACTCAGCTTAAGCAGCTCTATCTGTGATAACCCTGCAATTTCGAACCATGTAGAAATCACAAGGCTCAAATTAGTGACTGACACAGCTAGCTTACTTTCAGATCCTGCATCTTTGTTGCATGCTGAGTCAAATACCAGTTGGAATGGAAATAGCAACGGTATGAAAGTTGGCGTTGGTAGGATTCCCTTGTTGACACTAGGAGAAAGCTCTGGAAAATGTAGTCTGCCGCAGACTCTATTGGGAGCTGAAAACGGCCTGATTGTTAGCGATAGCATCATTCAGGGAAGTGATGAAGATGAGATTTTATCTGTTGGAGAGGATCCATGTGGAATTAATGGCGAGGAGTTGTTGCCACTGGGAACTAGCTTACAGTTGAGCTTGCCAATTGCTGTTGAAATCGAGGGTATTAACAATGGACAAATAGTTGCCAAGGTCATAAGTTTGGAAGAAAGGAGTTTTGATAGAAAGGTTAGTAATACCATAGTTGCTCTCCCAGATGATGAAATTACTAGTGGCCCTACACTAAAGGCATCTGTAGTGGCCCTTCCATTGCCCAGTGAGAAGGAGCCTGTCAAAGAAAGTGTCAAGAGTGTGTTTGAATTGGAATGTGTGCCACTCTGGGGTTCTGTATCTATCTGTGGAAAGAGACCGGAGATGGAGGATGCTCTTATGGCTGTTCCTAATTTTATGAAAATTCCTATCAAGATGTTTATTGGTGATCGTGTTATTGATGGACTAAGTCAAAGTTTGAGTCACCTGACATCTCATTTCTACGGAGTATATGATGGTCATGGAGGATCTCAGGTATCATGATTACTGTTTGTTTTTCTCTTGATTAATTAGCCAATTAAGTAAATCAATTTTGCACATAGATTATTTATTCCAGAGCTTGCGATCAACTTATATGCACTTTGCCAGCCATTTCTTCACCCCATAATTTTTCAGCTGAGTAGTATTTCAGACTTTCAGAAAAATCTACAAATTTAACCTAGTTCTCAAGTTTAGCTTCCTGGACGTTTGTTCTATCATCAGTTTGATTCCTGACAAATTTCAACCCAATGACAACTAAGCTGATCATAACTGACTGCTGTTTCGTCATGCAGGTTGCAGATTATTGCTGTAAACGTGTTCATCTAGCATTAGTTGAGGAGTTAAAACTTCCCAAACATGATTTGGTGGATGGAAGTGTAAGGGATACCCGGCAGGTTCAGTGGGAGAAGGTCTTTACTAATTGCTTTCTCAAGGTTGATGATGAAGTTGGAGGAAAGGTGAACATAGATCTCTGTGATGACAACATGAATACCTCTAGCTGCACCTCTGAGCCTATTGCCCCAGAAACTGTTGGGTCCACTGCGGTTGTAGCGGTGATTTGTTCATCTCATATTATAGTTGCTAACTGTGGGGATTCAAGAGCAGTCCTTTATCGTGGCAAAGAAGCGGTGGCATTGTCAATCGATCACAAAGTAAAACACACTTTAGCATCAACCTCTTGTTCTCTTTTTTGTTCTTCTCTTCCTTTTTTTCACATACATGTGTCTAATTTTGGCAGGAAAGAATGTGGTTGATGCATTACCATCTCACTCTTTTACCTTGTATTCTTTTACCAGCCAAGCAGAGAAGATGAGTATGCCAGAATTGAAGCATCTGGTGGTAAGGTCATTCAGTGGAATGGGCATCGTGTATTTGGTGTTCTTGCAATGTCAAGATCTATTGGTTGGTGTTCTAAAACCTTTCAGCTTGCATCTGTTGAATATTTTGTACAATATATATATATATGACATATGAATGACTGTTGCTTTCATGATTTATTATTGGTGTGCTGTGCAATGGATTTGCTTGATACCTGTTTTCTTTGGTAGTGTAAACATTCGTGTATAGAAAATACTTGGCTATATTATCCATCATAAGGGAACCTGTGAGATCTTTAGGGAATGTACATCAGGTGATGTGTGGCTAATACTGATATTTAGCTATTATTGCCCAAGTTAGAAGACAGCTGCTAGTATAGAAGATGGTCTTCTGCACTCTCGCGTTACTTTAGGTTCAATGGTTCCTAGGAGTATTGGCTAATACTCTCACGTTAGTCTTGTCTTGTGAAGATTTTTATGCCCATTGGAAAGGTAGAGAAATTCAAGTGCCAAGAGAACTTGAACTTTTTTATATATTGGATTAGGACACCTTTTTCAAAGAATATTGGATTGAGATGTGATCTAGATTAGAGACATGAATATCGAGAATTCATATAACCAAGCCCAACTTAGTTTGAGATTGAGGCGTAGTTCTAGTGTTATTTTCCCTCCAAATTCTGACTTCTAATAAGCAGGATCCCACGAGGCAATTACTGGGAACAACTCACTGAAACGTCCAACAATATAACTAGGCATTTCTTTGATTACCAACAGTTTCAGTACTCTCCATGGACCATGGTCAATAAAATCTAGGAATGTCAAACAGAGGTATCATTCTGCATCCTCTCTTTAGTTTTGCAAGTATACCTAGAATGACTCTTTGGTCATTATCATTAATAAATTGAATCGATAACTGTGTGTGTGGGCTCAATCTGGCCAACATTTAATATATTCTCAAGGGGCACCCTCAAGGTTCTGCACGGTCTTCATTATGTTTAATTCAGTGATACACCCCTACATTTTAATCCTCAACTTTCCTTTATATTACATTATATAGAGTTTAATAGAGATGTTGATCAAGTAATTGTTCGAATTGTAAAGCAGAACAGGTAGTTGGTGACATGTTAAATCAAGTATTAAATACTCCCTCCGTCCCAATTTATGTGGCACCGTTTTGACTTGGCACGGAGTTTAAGAAAGAAAGGAAGACTTTTGAAATTTGCTGTCTGTCATACTATAATTTTATAGCTATAAATCATTTCATTAAGGGTCCTAGGGGAATTTTAAAGTTGAGTTGTTTCTAATTATAGAAACGTGACATTCTTTTTGGGACGAACTAAAAAGAAAAGTGTGTCACATAAATTGGGACAGATGGAGTAACATATAACAAGTAGAAGTATATGATTTTATTAATTTGGTTCATTGGTTGGCGGGGAAATAATTTCCATTTATATAAAGGTCAGTTTTTCTAAGAAAGAACTGTAAAGGAAAGTAAGGTTAGTCTTTTCTTAATGGAGAGGGTTAACATATATGACCTAGGATGCATGCAATCTGTTTGTTTTTCTCCATGAGTTTCCGATACCACCTTGGTTTTGCTTTCTCTCAGTTCTTATTTATCGTTTGTCTTAAGTGCCTTGTCTTTGGTTATTTGTCTCATTTCTCTGCAGCTGCTATTGCTCATGTATTGATATGGTGTCAATTTCCCAATAGAGTTTGGATAGATGAAGTTACTGTTTCTCTCTATTGTTTATTCGTGTATCCCATTATCCGCAGGTGACAGATATTTGAAACCATGGATTATACCCGAACCAGAAGTTATGTTTGTACCACGTGCTAGAGAAGATGAATGCCTAGTTTTAGCCAGTGACGGATTGTGGGATGTGATGACAAACGAGGAAGCTTGTGAAGTGGCTAGACGACGAATTCTGCTGTGGCACAAAAAGAATGGGACTAACTCTCTGCCGGAAAGGGGCCAGGGAGTGGATCCTGCTGCACAAGCAGCGGCAGAGTATCTTTCATCGATGGCTCTTCAAAAAGGTAGCAAAGACAATATATCTGTGATTGTGGTGGACCTTAAAGCTCACAGGAAATTCAAAAGCAAAAGTTAGAGATTACATGTTCTCACCCACATTTGGTTTAGTATAAATCTGTACACGGCGACGGGTATAAATCTCATTATTACATAACTCAGTCCATTCATTTTTCCTATGGGCTTAAGGTGTGTATGAGAATAGTATTTTAGCAATGTATTATAGAAAAAAACAGTTAACAAACGACGTTTATCCAAATTTTTTGGTGTTTGTTGCGCCAGAAAATGGCTATGTAAATTGAGCATGTTGAAGCAATATCAGAGGTGCAATTTCTTAATTCTTCCGTTCAGTATAAAAGCAAAGACATTATTGGTTACTTGATAAGTTATGCACATTGCGGGTCTCATGAGGATCTATGAGGTTGAAGGGCAATTCGATTCATTAAGGGGGCATAGTGCTGCTGTGGTTTCGGACTTAGCAAGGTCTAAGGGCCATTCGATTCATTAAGGGGCGTAGTGGTGCTCTCAAGCGGTTTCGGACCTAGCAGCATACAAGTGGGTGATGCTCTCAAGCGGTTTCGGACCTAGCAGCATACAAGTGGGTGATGCTCTCAAGCGGTTTCGGACCTAGCAGCATACAAGTGGGTGATGCTCTCAAGCGGTTTCGGACCTAGCAGCATACAAGTGGGTGATGCTCTCAAGCGGTTTCGGACCTAGCAGCATACAAGTGGGTGATGCTCTCAAGCGGTTTCGGACCTAGCAGCATACAAGTGGGTGATGCTCTCAAGCGGTTTCGGACCTAGCAGCATACAAGTGGGTGATGAATTGAATTAGCTAATGAATCTTTCGTAATGCTTGCAAAGAAATCAGAAGAAAGGCTTCTGCCCCTTGGTGTTTCGGAACGAATGGGAAGAAGGAATCAGAAATGAACTTATATAAGAGCGCTTATTCCGCTTCCTTCTACTCTTGAAAGGTGATGCCTAAATTGACAACGGATTAAACTCTGCTGAGGAATTCTTTTATTTGTCCTGGACAAGTACGTAGAAGCTTGGGCTGCTTTAACCGTTTAGCCATGCAGATCAAAGATCTTACTTATCCTGGACAAGTATATTGAGATTTCGAAGAAAGAGTAGAAAAAAACATAGCAAGGGAAGTGTGAGGAGGGAGAGAGAATTTAACGTGTTAAAACAAACCATGTAACATAAATATGGAATCCAATTATCAATGGTTAAATCATCACTTGTATGACTCCACATGATTTATTTAATTATATATAACTATTCTTTTTTTATTACGATCAAACAAAAAAATTAAAAATATTTTAATAAGTTTTCTCAAGGGTCATTTCAGGTTATATATTTAGCTTAAATCAGTTCAACTTTTAGAATGGCTGAAACAAGCCGATTAAACTGAATTGAATTAGTAAATATAAAAGTTATTCAGAGATTTAAGAAAAGTTCGAAGGCGGAAAAATAATACTGTACTTAATTAAGTGAAGAAAATTTTACATACTCCGTAAGAATAGAAGTGTTCAAACATTCATGATTACCAAGAGAGAGAAAATTTAAAAACAGAATAAACTATATATTATAGTAACACATAAAAATGTTGGACCACAATCTTTAACTTGATTAAAATTTGTCATTTCAAAAAGTTAGCTGTTCAAAATTGACTCGTAAAACTTAATCAACTAAACTTTCTATAAATTTGTCCAATATACTATAAAGTTTTTCTAGGCTCGTGGTGTACAAAAAAAGAAAAAAAGGGACTCCTAAAGATGAGTGGCTAATTAGGAGGACCTGTCAATAACAATTCAGTAGTATAATTAATCAAGTTTTATTATATAAGTAGGACCTGTGTAATGCAGTCAATACATGGTGCGTGGGCCATAAAATATATATTTAAAAATATTTATCAAAATTAAAATAATTTGAATATGAAAAAACTAAAAAATATCATATAAATTTGAAATATTGATAAGAGGGAATAACACATTGCAAACAGTAGGCTGTTGAAACCGTCAAACTTCAATAGTATAGAACTATAGATTTTGTTGGAAGTTTCCAAAGACTTGCTGTGGCATGAATTATTGTACTAGTCTAAGATGCCGAATATTTATAACGCTATGTAGTATAATATTGGTCGATCAATTAATGTGACTTGTAAGGTACAATAGTTATTAGAAAATAATCAAGTTAGAATTGTAGCTATGAGTGCTATAGACGATTTAATGAGAAGAATGAAAGTGACTAATGCATGAACTTTTACCCATGTTTCAATCAAACAAATTTCTAGTCGGAATTTAAACTTATATGGCGTAATTTTTTTTAAAAAGTATCTATAAATATTTTACTATAACATAGATCTACTTCATATTAGTGAATGAACGTACAGACTTTACTCAAATACTGAATTCGCTTCTGATCCACCGTTGATCATAGAGATGTTTGGACACAAAAAATGGGAGCATAGTTGATGAAGACGTGGGATGTCAATATCACACGATATCTACGTTGTTCATTTTTTCTTCTTTCTTCACTTGAAATACGGTATATGAGCTGGTGCATGCATTGCCCCTAGACCCTAGTATTAGGAAAGTAAAGTTTCAAGTCTCAACAACTCTCAAACTTTTACCAACAAATGGTATGGTAAAATGGTAATGGTTTTTTCACTTTTAATCTGTAGTCTCGAGTTTGAGTTCTGAAAAGTGAAGTTTTCTTTAATACAAAACGTCAAAACTATCCATAGTGAATTTTCTTATACGTGAATTCAAATTATTTCAGTTTGTATCTTACGCATCACCGTAATTTTGTGGATGGATCATGGATCTTTCCGTGGTGCTAGCTAGAGCTAGACTACTAGTTAATTGTTTTATATGAAGGATTCAAGGGCTTGAAAATGACTTCAATATCCGGATCCAATTAGGTTATGAACAAGGAACTATATTCGTTCGAATTTCGTAACTTCAGATAAAACTCTCTATAAATAATTTAAAATTCAATTAAATGTCGAACTCAGTAGAATTCAGTTAGAATTTCAAATTCAAACCTATATGTGAGTCTACTATTAATTGTCGATCTCAAATTTATAAAATTTAAACCCTGAATCTGACTCTACTATGCACATAGTCAATGCCATGGCTTTTTGTTTCTTTTTTCCTAGTTGTTGCTTAGGCAAATGTATGCTTGCTTTTGAGTAATTTGTATGCTGTCCATAATAACAAGCGTCAAAATATATCCTTAAACGTTATGAAAATTCATATGATTGGTTCAAAGATACTTTAATTACAATATACGCGGTATTGATATTTTGATTATATAGGCTGTCATTCTTAGCTAAGCATGTGAAAAATTCCAACTCTTGCATCATACATACACTTATAATTCCATTATTTAATAAATATAACTTTTCAATATTCCCCACAACTGCTCCATTTCCAACCCCACAAGTAATCTTACAACTCCAAAATCCATAAACTTTATATTATAAATATATACTTTAATTTTATCCATCCAACAAAAAGTGTCAAACCCAAAGTCTTAAACAAGCAATACAATACAACCCACAAAGTGTCCAAAAGAGCTCCTTTTAGCCTAAATCAATGGCAGATGATGGAGAAGACATGACCCCATTTTGGCTACAAAACACCACCAATCTCCGCCGTACAGAGAGGCTACGCCACCGGGTGTCGTCTCTCTTCTTTAACGCCGGACTGTTGCTCATTATTCTGCTGGTGATGGCGATTCTCTTTGTAGTTTTCATAGTTCCTTCAACACTGTCTATATTTAAACCAACCAATGTAAAGAAAAGCTGGGATTCCGTGAATGTAGTGTTGGTTCTAGTTGCTGTGATTTTTGGTTTTCTCAGTAGAAACAACAATGAAGAACAAACAGTATCTCCGGTTAACAGAAATCAAGTTCAGAAATCGAATCCATCAACGCCAAATAGTCGATGGTTTAGTGAAGTTCGAAATTCAAATCCGAATCCAATAACACCACGAACATGGTTCGATAATGGAGAACGGGATTGTTTTCGCAATAATGGTGGCGGAGGAGGTGGATTGAGGAGGAGTTTTAGTTCGTATCCTGATCTGTGTGAAGTATCGCCGCGGTGGATCACGGCGGAAGATCAATGGCGGTTCTATGATGATACTCATGTGGATAGTCATAGATTTTCCGATCCCGGTCAGCTTAATCGCCGTCGTAGCTGGAGAGAAGTTGATCGTTCACCGGAACCTGAAATTAAAACTATTTATGAAGATCATTTAAGATCTAATAATGTTCCTACATTTACTCCACCAGCTTCAATTCCGGCGCCGTTCTCTCCGCCTTCACCGCCGCCAGCTCCGGCACTGGTATATGAGGAGAAAGTGAAGAGAGCATCTCATAGTGTTCGGCGTAAAAAGGAGGGAGCAAGTAAAAAGAGGGAAAATCATGAGCGAGAAGCAAATAAAGTTATTATGGCACCGGCGACGCTTCCTCCACCACCTCCACCGCCACCGCCGCCGCCTCCATTGTCACAATATGTGGAGCCGAGGAGCAGTAAAAGCGATCGGAAAAGAGGTGGTGCAAGTGCGACGAAGGAGTTTATTAACTCTTTGTATCACAAAAAGAAGAGAAAAAACAGATCAAAAAGTGTTGATAATTTTGACGCTCTTCTCCACAAATCAGAACCACCTCCTCTCCATTACCAACGGCCGGCATCCTCCACTCCACCACCGCCTCCTCCGCCACCGCCACCACCTTCTTCTCTGTTTCAAAACTTATTCACATCCAAAAAGGCCAGAAAAAAGAGAAATGCACCTCCACCACCGCCACCACCTCCTCCGCCAGTCAAGGCAGTGCCAGTCAGGATATCAAGACCAAATACCCCTTTCACCAGAACTCCAGCACCAAAGCCAGTGAAAATAAGAAGCTTCGACAGTGTCGAAGAAAACCCAAACAGCGGAGGAGAATCGCCGTTGATACCAATTCCACCACCACCTCCACCGCCTCCATTCTTCAGAAAACACGCCTGGAAATTCGTAGTAGAAGGCGATTACGTGAGAATAGACAGCACCGTCAGCTCACGTTCTGGGTCGCCCGAACTTGAAGATATAGATTCAGCCGAAAACACCCCGATGGCGGAAGACGCCGGCGCCGGTGAACGGATGGCGTTTGCACCGTCACCGTTGTTCTGTCCAAGCCCAGATGTAAACACAAAAGCTGAAAACTTCATATCAAAATTTAGAGCTGGATTAAAGCTAGAAAAAATCAACTCCTTCAACAAAAATGATCAAGGACGAAGCTTATCAAATCTAGGCCCAGGAGTAGGCCACAGTTAGATTCTTTTCTTAATCACCACATTGATTGATTTGTTAAAGTTTTCATTTTTTTGTTACATTTTTGTTCATGATTGAGATTTGAGGTGTTTTTCAACTTGTACTGCATAAAGTTATTAGTGTACAGAAAATAGAGAGATTGTCAGGAAAATTTTTTATCACAGGTTACAAGTTGGATTAAAAGGGGCAGCACGAGGCACTTAAGCTTCCGCTATGGTTGAATATTTGTTAATTTTGTGTTTCTTTGTTGGATTTGATAAGTTGGTCATGTAGTACTTGACTAGCATAAGTTATGAAAGATGTGTGATTTTGAATAATCCATCCATGATGATGATGTATTTGATAAGAGGAAATAATATTCGATCTTTGGTTGAGGAGATCTTGTTGTTAAATGATAGCTTACTTGTATTTTCAAATTAGATATTTGTTTGTAGCAGAGTGTTTGTATCAAACTCATAACATGCATTTCTTGATTTGGCGTAAACATCGATAGGTGATTATTTTTCCATAACTAATTGGGGTCAATTGCCATTACATTTGTATTTTTTGTGTATGGTGTAAGTAGAGTTGGTGAATATTTATTCAAGAGTCCAAATTAGATATGAATCTAGTTCCTTGCTTATATATGGAGTAGTAATTATTTCTTACCATACTGATTGATTTGTCAAAGTTTTCATATTTCATTGACATGTTTTCTGTTTATAATGATTGGGAATTGAGGGTTTTTTCACAAATTACATGCACAAAGATAACAGAAATGTGTGATTTTGAATAATCCATGATATAATGATTAATAATAAGAAAATATCCTTGGATACTACTGCTTGTAGAGATTTTTTTTGTCAAAACCAATATTTGGCATATCAAAAGTTTTGAACCTCTTTATCAAAAGCATGATATAACTTTTCAATGTGAATTCATATTAAAT